AACACAATATATTGGGCCTAGCCTACTACGCGCGCCTTTTATAGTTTTCGCGCTGCTCTGACCACGCCTGCGCTCACGTGACTAAGCAGTGACTTCCGCTGCCCTATCGCACAACGCACAAGACGGAGCCTATGCGCCGCGCTTGCTTAACACACAGCTATGCACGCATAACATCTGCCTCTGTTACTGGGCAGAGCGCCATCTATAACTCTGCACCGTGCCTAGTGACTAGCGCCCTCTGTTGCGTCACAATATCATGACTCTTTTAATGATTCCCTGGCCCTGCCCCCACCACAGCCTAGCCACAATTGTACTAGCTGGGTTACTGACCTATCTTCCGCCTCCCCCACATACACACCACACCCACACTCTAATAAAATAAAAGAACTAACTCCATGTCATGCTTGTAAAGTATATTCGATGTGCTCTCTGTTCATTATTATGGGGTTTGACGGTGAGTCTGTGTGGCCTCATGCATTTTGTCAGATGCTCACACGCAGGAGAAAAATTATCAGAGTTGCACAGCCAACAAGTTCTGCAGCAATACTGGGTTGATTGGAATGTGCAGTCTGCAAATGGAGCAAAAGCTGGTGTCACAATGGCCACAAATTGTCCCTGCCAAACTTACAGTCCATTTCAGATGAACTCACCAACAGTCTATATAAGGAAAACACAGGAGTAAATAGGAAGTAGTTGTTGCTAGAGATGAGTCTTCACGGACCAGTCCAATGCAGTGCTGGCAATTTAAGGAGGTAACGCTGCTCCGGCCCGATTTTACCGAGACGACTTCTCTAGACAAACTCGAGTGCCAGAGTCCAACGGACAGTCAGAGGGGTACGAGCAGCATGCTGGTTTGTTGACATCAAGCCTTCTGCAGTGGATGTAGTTGCAATGCTGTCCTCAGGCATGCACATGCACACCACAGAGCGAGGAAATCCTATTCTGATGGCCGGCCTACGTTGATGCTGACTGAGAAATGTCGGGGTTTTTACAACACAGAATTTCAACAGCTGAGGGAAGGAGGCTCTTATCAGCAATGGACACAACTGTCCCTTCAAGGAATGTCCTGCAAATACATCAACAAATGTCGCGAACATGGTGAAACTGGCACAAAATGGGCACATGCAACCAGATCAAGAGCAATCGTGAAAAACATACGTGAAATGCAGGGTTGCAGGAAAGACGCCACTTGCTGTGGTGAATGACAAATTCAAGCAT